CTTGAAAGAAAATTAGCAAGCCCTTCAAAATGTCAAGCTTGAAGGAAAGGAATTTTTTTTTTGGTGAGGGGGGGTCACTGGAAATTGAACACCTCTAGTCCTTTTTATTTTTTGGTACCAGGGATTAATTCCAGAGGCACTTAATCATGAAGCCACATCCCCAGCCCTTTTTTATTTTGAGACAAGTCTTGCCAAGTTGCTGAGGCTGGCTTTGAACTTGTGATCCTCCTGCCTCAGCTTCCCGCTCCCGAGCCACTGGAATAATAGGCAAGCACCACCGTGCCTGGCCAGTCCTTTTTTATTTTGAGACAGGGTCTCGCTAAATTGCTTAGGGCCTTACTAAATTGCTGAGGCTGACCTGGATCTTGCCATCCTCTTGCCTCAGCCTCCAGAGTCGCTGGAATTGCAGGTGTGCACCAAGACCACATCCAGCTGAAGGAAAATTAATTTAATCGAAGGCAGTCATTTGGAAAGAAATGCCTAGCAATCCTGCACAGACTGCCACAGTCAACCCCTAGCTATCACCTTCCCAAAAAAGCCTGACTCCCCACCACTTCTCTGAAATCTTCTCAAGCATTAGCATGATTTTCTTATTAATTGCTATCACTTCACATAACACCAAGAAGCTGGAGGATTTAAAAATAAGATTGTCTAAGGAGTCAACTCCCCCCCCCCACCCTTTTATCATTTTGGTAAAAGTCACAAACCTCATGGTAGAAGATTAGCCCACCTGTTTGCACTGTTCACAAAGAGAAAAGTATCTCCCAAACAGTAAAATGTGGATTTCTCCATCCCATAAACAATGGACAATCACCAAACAATGCACTCTTCCCAGGCCTGCTCCACTCCCTATAGCATCCCTGCCTCCTGAAACATTCCCACCTACTTTTCACTGTGTTCACTCCTCTAAGAATCTCACTTCCCTAAAGACATTCCTACTGCCACAGGGAACATTCTGTCTGCACAAGGCATAAAAAGCCCTAGTTGGAGCCATGGTCAGTGCCACTTTCCAGTGTCTGCAACAGACTCCCAGCAGCTTAGAAGATACATCTGTCACCACAGGAGCTGGGAGAAACAGCTGGGGATGATGCTGGGTGACTCTCTATGAGCCTAACTGCTCCTCCAACAGAGGAACATGCCCTTCCACCCACCTAACATTCTCTTTCATCTGGCAGGGGAGACAGTGAAGACTCCCATGCAGACCCTGCCTTCTAGAACCGCCCCTCTGGGGCTCTGTTCTGACTCATGGTTTCTATTTTCAGATCTCTGGTGAAAGCCTGTCTCATTCTCTTCTGTCTCTGTGCCTTTAGATTTCCTGCTCTCATTTTCAGCTTAATTCCATTGTTAGTCTTGACTCTCATGGGAACTCAAAGGTCAAATAGGGATGAAGACAGCAGCACAGAGTACCCCATTCCAACATGGCTCGGATAATCCAAGGAAGCCAAGTTCCACACAGCAGTGACTTAGAAATAAGAGAGGATGGAAAGGGATCACGGATGAACTGCAGTGTTGGGTCTTGAAACACAGGTGAAACTTTCTGAGATGTTCAGAGAAAATGAATGAGCAGCATTCTAGACAGGAGGGACTACAGGAGTTCAAGACACAGAGCCACTCTTGAGGAAGTTGTGCTCTTTGGGCTTAATATATGGGAAAAGGGGAAATTTGGACAAAACCGTACACAATTACAAACGCCAATTTGGTACAAATATGACTCTAAAAGCAAACTCATTCTTTCTGACTGACTTATTTTCTCTAACTGGTGCCATATTCAAAAGCTTGTTTGTTGGCACAGGCCTGTACTCTCAGCCACTCAGGAGACTGAGGCAGAACAGAATGCTCTAGGCCAGCCTTGGCAATTTAGCAAGAACCTAAGCAACTTATCGAGACCATCTCAAAAATTTAAAAAAACTTTTAAAAATAAGGACTAGGAATGTAGCTCAATGATAGAGAACCCCTGGGTTCAATCCCCAGTACCACCATTAAAAGAAAAAAAAAGAAAGCTGGGCATGGTGGTGCACGCCTACAATCCCGGTGGCTTGGAAGGCTGAGGCAGGAGGATAATGAGTTCAAAGCCAGCCTCAGCAAAAGCAAGGTGCTAAGCAACTCAGGTCTCTAAATAAAATACAAAATAGGCCGGGGGATGTGGCTCAGTGGGCAAGTGCCTCTGAATTCTGTCCCCAATACCCACCACCAAGAAAAATGGAAGGGAGTCTGGGAGCATAGTTCAGTGGTAGATTCCTTGACTAGCCGGTACAAGTCCCTGGGTTCAATCATCAGTTCTGGGGGTGGGGATATGTTTTGGCCCCTATTCCCAAACAACCAGGCTTGAAATCCCATTTATGATTCCTTGCCTTTCTTCACCCATTCCCACCAGTCTTGAGGTCCCTTCTTTCTCAATGTCATTTTTTGTGGTATTGGGGACTGAACTCAGATGCTCTACCACGGAGCTACATCCATAGCCTTTTTTATTTTTTGAGACAGGGTCCTGCTCAATTGCTGAATCTGCCCTCAAATTTGCAACCTGCCCACCTCAGCCTTCCGAGCTGCTGGGGTTACAGGTGGCGCCACTGTACCTGGCCTAATATCTGTTTAAATTTGTTTTGTATTCCTGCCTTCTTAATTCTCGATTGTTTACTTAACTTCTAATACATCCTATGTAAAGCTCCTATATCAATCCTCCTAACACACTGATGGTACCAGAGGAGTGGGGACCTGATAACTGTGGAAATTTAAACTTCTGGGTCTAAAATACCCACTCTTCCTGAATCTGGCCCTAACTTCCCAGCTTGATCTCTCACCAGACCCTCTAAGAGCTTACTGCCTGAGCCAGCCAAACACCTACATTACTGTGTTCAATGCTGGGTGACTCCAGCTCTCTCTGTGCCCACAAACAGACTGGCTCCCTCCATTTCACCATGCAGTGGTTTTTTTTTCCCCCTTTTTCTGCTTTTGGTATTGGGGATTGAAGCTAGAGGTGTCTTACCACTGAGCTACATCCCTAGTCCTTTTTTTAAATATCGAGACAGGGTCTAAGTTGTTTAGGGCTTTTTCATTAAGTTCTTGAGCCTCAGACTTTCAATTCTCCTGCCTCAGCCTCCTGAGTTGCTGGGATTACAGGTGTGTGCCACCATGTTCTTCTTCTTTTTAATGAGACAGGGTCTCCTTAAGTAGTTCAGGTTGGCTTCAAACATGTGATCCTCCTGCCTCAGCCTCCTGAGTGCACTACACACTCAGAATCATCCAGTGTTTTCTTAGCCAATTTTTCTGATTTTTTAAGACTTAGCTTAAATTCTGTCTCCTTGCTGGATCATTTGCCAATCAAATTCCTAAATCCTCCCTCCCCAACTCTGAATCAAACCAATTCCACTGTGAAATCCTACATATGATTCTAGGCAGGTAGTTTGATTGCAGTCAGGGTGTTATTTTTTTTTTTTTTTTTTGAGAATTTTTTAACATTTATTTTTTAGTTTTTTGGCGGGCACAACATCTTTGTATGTGGTGCTGAGGATCGAACCCGGGTCGCACGCATGCCAGGCAAACGCGCTACCGCTTGAGCCACATCCCCAGCGCCAGGGTGTTATCTTTTTGAGAAACTTGACAGCAGAACCTTCTTTGCTAGGATACTTGTAAACAATTTCAATGAATATCTATATAGCATTTTGAGCTCCACGGAGAACAGTTAGTTCCACATATACTAAAGACTTTGTGACCTACCTTCAACAGCAGGCTTTGCAAATGTAATTTTACTTTTCTCCCTTTTGGAATGTGCTCTGTTAAAGCCTAGGTTCTACCTCTTGAAATGGGTTTCTTAAGAAAGGTCAGGCAATTCGAGGCACAGCCATCACCCTCAAGAACTTGGAGACTACTCAGTAAGGCATACTGCACAAGGCAGGATGTCCACATCTTTCTGTCTTATCCTGTCCAGTATCTGTTCTACTCAAAGAGACCCCCAGAGGGTCTAGCCCTTAGGAAAGTTCACTTATTAACCCTTTAGCAAAATACTGCCTGCTAAGGTTAACCCTCATTCTTTCAGAGTAATGTGAATTAACAATTACAGCAATACATCGCTTTGGTTACAGCTTCCAACTGCTTCTCCGCTTTACTCAGAGTGTGTTATGTCGCGAAGATCAAGTGTGTGCGTGTGAGGGAGTCCCAAAGTCGACTTAACAAACCAGTTGTCTATCGTCGCTCTCTTTGGAAAATTACTCGCACTTCAAGCTTTCTGCCTGAGCAAAGCTGTCAGTTCTCCATGGTCAAGATTTTGAAGATGCCAGGCTGTGTACCGGTGGCAGCACCCACCTCTCCCCCGAGCTTCAGCCCAAATCCGGAGCTTTTTCCCTTCCTCGGGGACTGGGGTGCAGGAATTCCGGAGTCACACTCGGGAGCGGCCCTACCACCAGCTCCAAAGCGCCAATGACCGTCAGCCCTGAGAACTTCCTTGCCACTCTCCCCAGGCCTGTCTGGCCACGACAGGACCCAAAGCTGCGGCCGCCTCGCGCGGGAGCGGGAGGACGCGCTGCAGAGAAGGGCCCTCTGCTCGCGAAGGGGCGTGATCGCCGGATGCTTGCCAAGGGGTCGCCCGGGCGCGAGCCGCCAGGCGGCGCCGCCGCGGAGCCCGGGAGGGGAAGGGGGGGGTGAGGAGAGGGACCGCTCGGTGGCTCGAGGACAGGCAGAAGCGGCCGCGGTTACTCACTCAGCCAAGACTCCAGGCTCTCCCCTTCCGCCTCCGCCATATTGCAGCCGCCCGGGTCGACCCCGCGGCCTCAACCCTCGCGAGAGTCCGTACGAGCTGAACCAGGGCGGGGCCTGCATGGGGGCCTGAGAGGAGTGAGCGCTGTTATTGAGGGTCCGCCAGACTGCGACGGATATTGGGACCGCGAGTGTTTCTTTTTGGTTCTTCCTTTTGGCCCTTGGAGTGAGAGATTCTAATGTGCAGATCAATGAGAATGAAATGAAGTTTTAGGATCCTCTGACGTCTTTATCCCGTCTCCCGTCCCTAGCTCAGGCGCGCCGAGGACAGTCCTTGTGGGGTCCTCGTGGCCGGCCAAGATGGCTGCCCCCGCACTGAAGGCTCTGCTAGGCTGGTCAGGCTTGGCGCCGGGCTTGCTGCGTACTGTCAGTCCGCTTCTAGGGTAAGAGGGCAGCGGGCAGCTGGAAGCACCGCCTGGGTCTTCACGGAGGGACCTGCGGGGAAAGAAAGGAACCACAGGCCGACTCACGCTGGACCTTGGAGCGAGCGCTGCTCTAGGGGTCGAAACACCTAAGTTCAAGCCTCTTAACTAGCTGCGTAACCTTGGGCCAATCTGAAGATTTAGTGACTGCCCCTTGGCTGGGAGGTCGGGCTATGTCGGGGTGTAACTCGAGCTGGAAGTGCAGCCCTGTTAAGAGTTTAGAGCTGAGATGCCTGGAGGTGGGTGGAGAGGTGAGCTGGCGGGAGCCTGTTCTTACCGTTAGCATTTGACTAGGAGGAAGCTTTCCTGACCTGTTTGGGGGAGGTCCTTCTACCTCTTGGGACAGAGCCAAAATTATTACTGTTCAGGTAAAGCTCGCGGCTTCCGTGCTGCTCTCCCTCGTTGGCGGGTTGCACACATACCTATTGTTAAGTCAAGCTTGTTCACTTGTGGAGTCAGCTTGTGCCTGCCTCCTTTGCTTCTCGCTCCCAGGCAAACCCAGGTGAGGTGGAGCCGCTATGGTGCTGAATTCAGAGATCCCCTAATTGACAAGGAACATTACCGCAAGTCTGTGGCAGAGCTCACCGAGGAGGAGAAATATGACCAGGAGCTCAAGAAAACTCAGCTCATTAAAGCTGCCCCAGCGACGAAAACAAGCTCCGTGTTTGCAGACCCGGTGATCAGGTTAGATGGAAACACTTGTTCCACGGACTGGGATTATCCCAGGGAGGGTCTACAGCAAGGATACCATAATACAGCCTTAGAAAGCTAAACCTGTTGCTTTTCTCCTTGAAGTAAATTCACGAACATGATGATGAAAGGAGGAAACAAAGTACTGGCCAGATCTCTCATGAACCAGGTAAAGAGTTCCTCCTGTTATCTTTCTCCTCAAGAAGAATGGGCCAGGCATGATGACACATACCTTAAACCCCATCAACTCAGGAGGTTGAGGGAGGAGAGTTGGAGACTCTAAGCAATTTAGCCAGACCCTGTCTCAACATTAAAAAACAAAAAAAAAGATGGGGCTGTGGCTCACTGATTAAGCTCTTTGGGTTTAATCCCCAGTACCCCCCCAAAAAAATTAAAATCAATTCATATGCCTTTTTTTAAAAATTAACTCCCCTGTAATGTATAGGGTTTGGGGCTTCAATGAGGTCCTGCAGGAGTCAACAACTGCCATTCCCTGCCATGTCACAAATCTCTGCCCACTCTTTCTGTCCTAGTCTAGCAAAAGAAGGAGGCACTTAAGAACTTTGTATTGTACATGATGAGGGTTCAACTGTACTGCCGAAGAACTGAGTGGTGGGAGTAAAGGGCAAGGTACTAGCTGGATGGGTCAACTCTATATGAAGCCTGGTGCAACCTCTTCCACTGTCTCCCTTTGCAGACTCTGGAATCTGTGAAAAGGAAGCAGTTTAAGAAGTACCATGCTGCTTCTGGAGAGGAACAGGCAACCATTGAATGCAACCCCTATACCATCTTCCACCAAGCACTGAAAAACTGTGAGCCTGTAATTGGGCTGGTACCCATCCTCAGGGGTGGCCATTTCTACCAGGTGAGTGGTCTGGCAAGAAAGCAGGGATGCCCACATGGAAAACAATGGGAATGGAAGGCTAGGAGTGTAGCTCGGTGGCAGAGCACTTGCTTACTAGCATTCATAAAGCCCGGGGTTCCATACCTAGTAAAGACCCTCCCCCACCAAAAAAAAAAAAATGGTGGGAGGGCTCAGAGCTGGGCCAAGAGATTGTTAGCTCTCTAGACTAGAGACCATCAGGATCTACTCACTTTAGTTGTGTAAGCAGAAGACGGAAAAGGAAGAGCGCAAAGAAGTAGCTAAATGACATTTTCTGGTAGCCCATCCCTCCCACCTTCTGTTTAGCATCCTGATTGTCCTAAACCATATATTTTTTTTGTCGAAGGGACTACGCTTATATCCCAAAGTTATATGCCAGTATCTAGCATAGTGCTTGACCCATAACTGATGGTTCATCACTTTTAGTGGTATTGAACTTGGTATCTCTAGCATAGGTTGTAATAATCTTTGATATTAGAAGGGTTTCTTGCCTTATCAGTATAAACTCCATTATGGTACGAAGTTTCTCACTGCACCTTTAGTATCTGACACATAGAGCCTTGCAAATGATTCTTGTACACAGGGTCATGTTTTTAGGCACTCTTGGTCACCCAGAGTAGCTAAGTCACCCAGAAACAGGGCTTTTTCCAATCCGTGCTTGTATCAAAGCTTTTTTTTTTTTTTTTTTTTTTAATATTTATCTTTTAGTTTTCGGCGGACACAACATCTTTGTTTGTATGTGGTGCTGAGGATCGAACCCGGGCCGCACGCATGCCAGGCGAGCGCGCTACCGCTTGAGCCACATCCCCAGCCCTGTATCAAAGCTTTTTGTGGCAAAGCTTCCATTAGAGGGGAAAAGGCCAATACTTGGTGAGGTTTGCAAAGCCACTTATGTCTGCTACCCTGAGGTTATCCAAAGATGAGGGAAGCTCAAAGAAAAAAAGACAGGCCTCTCTTCAGGAACCTTACTGTGCTAGAGAAAATACAGAGCCATTCCTTACAGCTTTGGGAGTCAGGGGTCCCCAGCCATGGCAAGCCCCTGGACCCGCTTACCTGTCCTGTCCCCTCACCCAGGTCCCTGTGCCCCTAGCTGATCGACGTCGCCGCTTCTTAGCCATGAAGTGGATGATCACTGAATGCCGAAAGAATAAGCATCGGCGGACATTGATGCCAGAGAAGCTGTCACATGAGCTGTTGCAGGCCTTTCACAACCAAGGCCCCGTGATCAAGAGGAAGCACGATATGCACAAGATGGCTGAGGCCAACCGAGCCCTGGCCCACTACCGTTGGTGGTAGAGGGGGAGGAAAGGTTCCCATCAGAGCCCCAGGGCTTCTGCCATTTAAAAACAAACCTTATGAGCCACTGTTCTTGAAAAATACCTGTGGGTTAAGGATATAGTTCCTTTTGAGAAGAATGGAGCAGCATGTTTGTTGCCTATCAATCCTCTTCCTTTGGGGTAGAATAGCTCTCCCTGTCCCATCTCTTTGTAAAGAGAACATGTCAACGTATTGATTTTCTCCAAGAAATTCAGGGCCCAGGCTTCTCTCACCTCAGAGTGGGCCTTCGGATACTATGAAAGGAAGAAATTTTTGTATCAGAAATGATTATTAGAAAATCTTTAATCTGAACTAGTGTAACACATTATGTAAGAACTACCATTCATTAAAACTGGCTGGAGGATATAGGCTGGTTTCCACAGTGGTTTTTATACAAAATGTATAAAAAGCAGTTTCTGGTGCGAGCTGTGCTCTGTGCTCCTCAAAATCCCAAAGCATCCTATGGATGACTGTGATTACCCATTTTACATATGGGGAAACTGAGGCACCAAGGTAATGTTGCACCAATTATTATAGGGTGCAGTGGTTAGAAATTGCCCTTCTCTGACTGGCCTAGGGGAAAGGTGGTAGGAGAGAGGCTGATCGAGCTGTGGGGAAAGGGGATCAGTCTTGAGCCCAGGGAGCAGATCCGTTTGGTGTCCCCGCCAACCTCTGAGTGGGGGAAGGGAATGAGAGGACTGTGGCATAAATGGGGAGATGTGGAAGTCTAGAAAGGGAAAGCCTTTGGAAAAGGCAGCTGTCTTGCCATCTTAGGAGAGGGTGGAGTAAAGACCAGTGCTGCAGTGAGCAATCACTGAGCCAAACCTAGTCAGAAACCTCACTGTAGTAATACTTGTGGGCAGCCGGCGTGGTCTTCCAGCCAGCCGCCCGGAACTCAATGATCTCTAGCAGCAGCAGCTGGGCCAGGGAGCTGAGGCCTGTTGGGAGCAGGAAGCCATCCCGGATCAGGACAAAGAGCTCATCCATGCGCTGCCCATTCATCTTCTCCAGCTGTTCCCCAACGCGGTGCAGCTGGAGCACCAAGCAGTCCACCTGCAGAGGTAGCAGGAAATACCTCGTCAGTCTGGGTAGGACCTGCCTCTCACAGGAGTAGTATTGCTTGCTGAGTGTCAGGCCCCCATGCCTGGTCCTTTATTCTAGTTTTTCATTTTCACACCTCCCACCGTGTTACCCACGTGTAAGGAAGGAAACAAGTGGCTGGGTACAGTGGCACATGCCTATAGTCCCAGTGGTTCGGGAGGCTAAGGCAGGAGGATTGCAAATTCAAAGCCAGCCTCAGCAACATAGAGCCACCAAGCAATTCAGTGAGATATCCTGTCTCTAAATAAAATACAAAATAGGGCTGGGGATGTGGCTCAGTGGACAAGTACCCCTGAGTTCAATCCCTGGTAACTGCACTCCCCAATACCCTCCTCCTCAAAAAAAAAAAAAAAGAGTTCAGAACCTTGCCTAGAACATCTGGCCAGGCAGGCCTCACCTGTTCTCCAAACTGCTTCTGAACTCCACTTTCCTGCTTCCCACTGACTGCCTGACCTGGTTTGGTTTCTAGGCCATCTGTGCCCACAGCTGGCTGTGGCTGCCACCATTCCTATCATAGCTTGGTTTTCCTGCTGGGGAGAAGCTGCTGAGCCAGTCAGTCTTGGTTGCTGTCTGTCCTGGATAAATTCCAGACCCAGCAGCTTGTCATGTAACTATAACATACTTTAAATGTCCCCACCAGGCTGCTACCCAGAAGTGATGCCCTCCAAGCCCTCTACAGCCTTCTGTGCCAGGGCTACCCACCTCTTCCTCTTTGCTCAGACTGTCAGGCTGGGCCAGCCGGAAGAGGCAGTCATAGACAGGGTTCACCAGGGCCATCATGGGCATATTGTTCACCTGTGGAGGAAAAGGAGGGGACCGAGTGGCAGCCATCTCTCAAGTTTGAAATGCTCCATGGGGAGCATTTCAAACTTGAGAAATGGTCATGTCTGCCTCACAGGGTGGCTGGGGCCTCACCCTCAGGTAGTCAAAGATGTTGCAGATAAAGGTGACATAGCAGACCCAGCCCTGCAGGGAGCGTGCCCTCAGCTGCTCCCGGGCTTGGTACTCCTGCTGCAGCCGGTTGAGGAGTCCACGACGGAAGACACTCTGGCCTGCTTGTTTACTCTCTGCCTGTGAGCCAGGGAGAGGCTGGTGAGGGGCAGGGGCAGTGATGTGGTCACCCCACCTATCCTATACTTCTCCCTGCCATTGAACTAACGCTCTTCGTATCTCTGTCCTGCTGGCAGCCTCTTCCCACTACTGAGTAGTCTTCCTCAAAGCAGCTCCCTTTCCTCTGCCAACCCCCCAACCTGAATGATGGCGTAGCACATGCGTCCTGCTTCCTTGCTGAACACACAGTCCTGCAGAGAATGGTCCACAATCACATTGGCCACTTTCTCCAAGTCCACAGCGCCTGGATCTAGGTAAAGATAGGAGGGGAGTCTAGAGCTGCCTGCTGATCACATTTGCCTTCATCTGCTCCCAAGAGGAATTTGAGATATTTAGGGTATTCACATTATATGCTTAAATTTAGAGAGATGAAGAAGAGGCTGAGGGGAAGCTCAGTTATATAGAACTTCCCTAGTATGCATAAGGCCTTAGCTTTGACCCCAAGCACCACAAAGGAGAATACCTACAGAAGGGGGTAAGTAACCACTCATAGAAGCAGCTCCAGCTGTAAGACCCCTGGTTGCCCAAAGAGAGAAAATAGGGAGTTACATGGCTGGTAGCGACCAAACAAAACCAAAACTTCTTAGGACACATATCTTCCTGGCACTAGGTTGAGAAAGGAACACTTATACTAAGCTGTCTACATCAGTTTCACAGAAGAAATTTTCTTTTAGCCAGATGTAGCAGTGATGCACACTGTAATCCCAGCTACTCGGAGGTAAGGCAGGAGGATCATACATTTGATCCTGGGCAACTTAGCACCTGTCTTAACTAAGAATAGGGCTGGGGATGTAGCTCAGTGGTAGGGTGCCCTTGGGTTAATCAGTACTGGGTGGGTCGGGGGGAAGTTCTATGATTCACACACAGCTCCTGATAAGTAGGTATGCAGGGCTTTTCCACAGGCTTAGCCTGGCATGTGATGGGCACTGCTAATTGGAAGTTGGGTCACAATTTTGTCCTGATTGCTATAGAAGGAAAGTTTTGGGACACAGTAAATATCTCCTCTGCAAATCAATGTTTTCCATCCTCTATCCAAGTCAGGTAGCCCCATATAACCAAGAGTGGGCTTCAGCAATGCTGAACCCAGCAAACAAATACAAAGGTTTAAAAGACAGGAACTGCTCTCCTCTTTCATGGGTATTTCAAAATAAATAAATGAATGAATGAATAAATAAAGCATTACAGTCTGAGAGAGGGTTCTGAACCATTCTCCCAAATATTAGCTTTAATGTAGTTTATCTTCCAGTTCAAGAGTTAAATTGTGACTCCTCAGAAAGTGAAGGGAGAGGGATGAACATTCCCTGGCCCTAGGGCTCAGCCCCTTCTCTGCAGCTCCTGCCCCAGCTCAGGTGAAATCTCGTGCTCACCTTTGAGTGCTGTCTTCAGAAGCTGTTGGGTCTCAGCATCAAAAGATTGGATTTTATACTCCTCTCTACTGGCCTCCCCCATGACCATTCAGACCCAGCAGCTCTTTAATGGTCTGGGATTAATGACAGCACCTGAGAGAAGAGGCATAGGGAGAGGACTCAGGCGTGGAGACCCGAGCCCAGGGTTCTAATCCTTCCAGCCCTGGGCGGGTCAAACAGTGCTTGTGACAGGTGCAACTGAGCGGTCCATGGCACTCAGTGGTTGACTGAGAGCCCACCAAGCCTGTTTCTGGCGGAGACTGAGTACCAGCCAAGCACCTGCTGCTCAGCTTAGGAAACCCTAGACTTCTGGGATTACCCAAGAGGAGAGATGAAGGGTGAATGCACCTACCCTCCAGTCCCAGCAGGAGGCAGGTTGTTCTCAGTCGATATCAGGGAAGATTTGGGGGAAGGGTTCGCTGAGCTGGGGGCGTGGGTAGGTGGAGGCTAGACTTGCCCATATAAACCGGCCTGCTGGCTGCTGGCTCAGCTCCATTGCGAGTGACCAGAATGAGGGCTCTGAGCTGCAGCCGGCTCCGTACGGCGGGATCCAAGGCCCTCTCCCAACCTTCTCCCTCAGCTTTCGCCAGGGTCGTCCTCAGTCCTCAAAACCCACCCGCAGGCGTCGACCGCTTGGGTGGGTGCAGGATCCTCATCGGCCGCCCCTGCCACTCGGAGCCCGAGCTCCCACTGTCCCGGCCAGCTTCCGCCCGGAACCGACTGGTTAAGCTGGCCTCCCGAGTGGCAGAAACCTGGCCCTACCCATCGGGACTCCTATTTCTGTGCTGCAATCCGGATCCTTCTTAGAGCGGGAGCGGAGTGAGGCGTCCCTCTCTGGACTCTGTGCCTCCCTCTGTCCAGAGGAAACGACCTTAGGGGTCTGCAGACGTCGGCAGCCTCCCCCAGCCCGCAGCGCCCTTCCGCGCCGCGCAGGGCGGGCGGCGGAGCCAGCCATGCGTGTCCCGCGAGCGGGAACGGCTGCGTGACCTCGCGACCCACCTGCCGGGCCGGCGCCGCGCCCGCGTGCCCGGGGACTCTGGCGGCCACGGAGCGCGCGCCCGTCCAAAGTGCTGCGCGGCCGCCGCTGAGCTCATCTCCCGGCGCGGTGCGAGGCGGCTCGCCAGCGCCACCTGCCGGTCCCCCGCACCACCGCGGCCGGATCCCCGGTGGGGCTGCGCGGGACGTCTGCCAAGCTGCCTCCGTCGCGCCTGGAGAGCTCACCCTGCCTCGCCTCTCAGCCGGTGCGCTGCGGCCCTGTTCAGGACCGCAGCCGCTCGTGCCGCTGGGCCGAACCTGCTCCTCCATCGGCACGAAGTCCTCGGACTGGAGTGGTGGCGTCCCCACCTCAACCCTGTCATTCTGACCCTCGGGGGACTTAGGTGAACTGGCTCAAGAGACTCCGACCAGCTGTGCGGGTGGGAGGAGTCCGTTGAGGGCGTGGCTTGGTCCAGGAGCAGCGGGCTGCAGGAGCAGTGTCTTCCAGGGTCGTGCAGTGTCCCCTTTTCCACCCACCAAGGTAGAGAAGGCGGAGGGCAGGTGTAAGAGCTGGGTCAAACCCTACCAACTCCCTCTCCTACTCCAACGAAACTAACAAAATAAGTTTCAAGTCAAAGGGGCAGTCGAAGAGAAGGGTCCCAATTGGCAACATGCGGTCCATGTCGCTGTGCCCTTGGCCTTTCTTGGCAGGGACTGGGTAAGCTTCGTAGTTGCCGCCCCACCCCCCACAGCCCGGTCAAGAGTGTTGCCAAA